ACTTAAGTTTTGTCTTTTGCACTATACTGAACTTTCTCTCGTGTCAAATAACCATTTGATCACTCTAGAATCCTCAGCACCAGCTACTGAGATTTACAGCTAGTCTAGTATTGCTTCACAGATATGTACTGAACAAGTACATGGGTGAACTGGCTACCTTGTGGTGGTCATATAATTCTTGTGCCACAGTTGTCCATCTAAAAGCTTTGAAGAGTTTTTTTCTTAATGTGTTTTAATTGCAGTTGAACCTAGTTTGACAGAGTAAGCGGCCAACCATGGGATATTTCTTGCTACAATTACTATGTGCTCTTAGGATATTAGAGGCATTTGTCAGCCATAGGAAGACCTCCAGGTATTTCCCAACTTACAGAGTATAGTCCAAGACTCTTAGTGTGCCATACAAGGGCTACCTTGACCTGGCATGTAAGGTTTAATTTTCTCACTCCGTTAATACCAAACCGTTTATCATTGCTCCCATATATTAAACTCCTCAGCCCCAGTGCCTTTGCTCCTGCTGTCCCCACTGTGTGGAATGATCTTCTATAATTCTTTTGCCTGGCCAACTCTTATACACTCTTCAAGAGTTGATTCAGGCTCACCTCCTCAGGAAATCGTCTCTGAACCTCTGGGTTGTAATTAGGGCCCCTGCTCTGTGCTTTTATTTACCTATGCATTCCTGATTTTAGTTTTGATGTACTGAAATCATCTCCTGTGTTTCTTCTCCCCCATTAGACTGTAACCCCTCATATGTGCAGGCCATCCTTTTCGTCCAAAGCTGAGAACAATGTCCCTATCTGGCATGAATGGGGTGTTCAAAATATGTTTGATAAACTAAATGGATTGATTCCAAATGGAATTCTTTTTTTCCAGGGAAAGAGACGGTGAGATAAAATGTAAAACCTTTTTGGTTTAGTAGGGTGACAGCTCCTTAAGTCACTAAGCACAAACCTGTTCTACCAGCTAGGGATGGAGGTTGAAGCTTCCAGGTCAGAGGTTCAAAGTTGCGGCCATCAGTGTTTGCCTGAGCACAGGCTCCAATTCCAACCTAACTGTGGACTGATATATTCACTGTCGTGGGAGAAGAGGATCCGATGATTCTCCATGTTGGGGGAATAGGTTATTACCAATACAGACCAAGAAGATGCAGGGAGGGCAGAAATATTTACTTTGTCCTCAAAATTTTGAACACTCTTACATGATCTCATGAAAGGGGTTGGAGCTGATCCCAGTGATCCTCAGGGAGATGTAAGCCACGGCATGTTTCAGCGCCACAGCTTCCTCTCTTGGAATGATAGATCTTTCAGTTGGAGCAAAGGGTGTTTATTTCTATGCCAGTAGTCTTAAACATGAGTTTTTTATTGCAAATAATAAAAAGCCCTAATTAATAATCGATCTTAGACAATCAGCCGTATTCCCTAACAGCATCCTATCCGTGAACTTACTTATAACAGGCCCTTTTTCTTTTAATTACCTCTCATTCCATTAGTGTGCTGAATTACCGAACCAGTACGTACTACTCCTGTGTAGAGACCTCGGGTAAACCTAAGATTCTCGATCAGATGTGCTTTTTAAATAAACTGTTTAAAAGAATTTCAGACAAGCATTCCACTTTCATGTCTGATTTAATTTACCATTGATAAAAATCTTTCAAATTTTCCTTGTCTGGTTGCAAAATATCAAGGCCTCCAACTTCCAACTTCTGTCCTCTGCATTTCCATCCACTTAGCAGCAGTGAGAAGCTCAGTTTCATTTGTAAATATAGGGTATCAGCAACCATCAACATGGTTCCATAAGAATCTGTAGTTGCAAAAGTGCCACAGGTGATTCTGATCTACAGCAAGGGTAGATGACATTGGGTTAGGGAATTGGATTTACTAAATTTTTTTTTTTTTTTTTTTTTGCTGGAAAAAGTGCAGGGCTTCAGCAACTATTTATTTGCTCCTGTTGGTGAGGTCTACAATAAAAATACAGCAAATGAAATGCAGTTATCTAAGCACCTTGGTGGTGGAAATGGTTAAGCGCTTGGCTGCTAACCGAAAGGTTGGTGGTTCCAAATTACCAGGGCTTCGAACTGGTTCATTTTGGTTTGAATCTCTGTTGAGAATTTGCATTTCTAATAAGTTCCCAGACAATGCTAATACTGCTGGTTAGGGACCAATTCTGAGAACCACTAGTAGAACAGTGTGTCTCAAATTTTATCATACGTAAGAATCACCTGGGGATCTTGTTAAACTATAGATTCTGATTCAGTATATCTGGGGGTAGAAATGCAAATTTCCACCACTGGAATGAACTGGTTTGAAGCCCTAGTTTGAAACTACCCAGAGGTGCCTTGGAAGAAAGACCTGGTGAGCTACTTTAGAAAGATCACAGCCATTGAAAACCCTATGGAGCACAGTTCTACTCTGACACACATGGGTCACCAAGATTTGGAGTGGACTTGATGGCAACTTTTTTTTTTTTTTTTTTAAATCTAAGCACCTAGTAAGGTTTCCTATAAGCTTCTTGGACATCTTAATAAATTAGAGAATAAGGAATTACTACTTTGGCAATCATTCAGAAAGTAATATTTCTACATATCTGCTATGACTCCTAGCTAAAATAGGTTATTTTAATGCTGTTAGTTAATAAATGCTTTTTGATATAGTTACCATAACTACCCTATAATTACCAGAACTACACTAGAATGATATGAAAATTCCATATGCTATGTAATGTTCTCCAGAAGTTTGAAATACTATTTTAGACAAACCATCAGTAATTTCATAGCTTCCTATGAGACAAATAAGTAGAAAGAATTGTTTTATTGATAATAGAAGAGAGGTGCTAAGGACAGTAAATCAAAGTGTTCAAACTTGCAACTCGATGACTGGCAGGTAATCAAGTTAATTATCTAGTAATTTATATGTCAAGCCTAAAGTTGTACCCAACTCATACACATACCTGTGTATGCAACAAATAGAAAATATCCAAAACCTGTTCCTGTTGAGCCAATACCAACTCATAGCGACCCTATAGGACAGAGTAGAACTGCCCCACAGGGTTTGCAAGGCTGTGATCTTTACAGAAGCAGACTGCCACATCTTTCTCCTGCTGAGTGGCTGGTGGGTTCGAACCACATACTTTTTGGATAGCATCCCAGCAGCTAACCACTGCACCAGCAGGAATTCAAGGGAATAAATAAGATTCTTGGTTTTTACAGGAGGAACTCTAGTGGCACAGTGGTTAATGTGCTCAGCTGCCAACCAAAAGGTCTTTGGTTTGAACCCACCAGCAGCTCCATGGAAGAAAGATGAGGCAGTCTGCTTCTGTCAAGATTTATAGCCTTAGAAACCTACGGGGCAGTTCTACTCTGTCCCGCTTTCCCCATGCAAATCATCATTTTAATATTCAATGGAGAAAAATGACCTTTTGAGGGGAGGGTGACAGATTACTTACTGCCTTTTGTAAAAGCTATGACTGCCCTCATGATGTCTGAGGAATTGGAAGGTGCCAGGGTCAATGAAGAGAAGGCATGGACTCAAAGTCAGTTTGCATGAGGAATATTTGTGAAGAATGAAGAGGATGGTTTACATTGGACATCCCCTTCTAGCCACCATTTTGGTGATTTAAAAATGCCAGAATGAGTTTAAAACGGGTAGAATCTCAAATCAGATTCCTTTTGGGGATAGATGCTGCAGGAACAGCCGAATATGGAATACTGAACAGGCATCCCAGGTGGGAAATCTGGATCAGTTATTTTTCCCTCCATTACCTATAGGGTCACTGTGAGTTAGAATCAACTCAAGGGCAGTGAGTTTAGGTTGGGGGGTTTTTACAGGCTTAAGGAGAAGGAATATTGATGTTAACCTCAGGTATCTGATCAAAGGCTAGTGTTTTTTCCATCCTTCATTCATCAGTTCAACAGCATTTATTAAGCACTTTCAGTGTGAATGCACTGCCTTCCCATAATTGACAAGTAAAATCTGCTCCTGAGACCCTAGCTGTGTGCTAGGAGAGGTGCGTAGGAGGAAATGGTGGGTCCATAACCCAAGATGGGCTGCTGGGAGCATTCAAAGCCTCCAAACTGCCTTCTGGGTCCTCTTTCATCTGTGATCAGGGCACAGCTAATTCTCCCACTTCTTCCTGCTGCAGACTTATTAGTGGTGTAGTTATCTACAGCTGTTCCTACCTTTGTTTATTCAATTTGATTTACTAGTCCTGTGCTTGCTGTGAGCAAGGTGGTAAGGTAATGCATGGCAGGGGCCTTCATTAACCTGAGAAAGTTCTGTTCTGGGACTGTAGGGGGCATCATTGTTATCAGAGGAATCTTTCTTATAACTGACTTAACTGTTTTTTCAGGCAAGGTCCATGGAGCAATGCCATTTTGCTGATGCTGGGGAGTAACTGTTCTCTGTGGGTGGGAGCCTCTGCCCGTGGAGAGGTACTAGAGGGAATACTGGGCTAGAAGTGAAGTCTGGGATGTTATTGTCTTCTCTGAGGGACTCCCTGACTTACCAACTTCCCGCTTTCCCCATGCAAATCATCATTTTAATATTCAATGGAGAAAAATGACCTTTTGAGGGGAGGGTGACAGATTACTTACTGCCTTTTGTAAAAGCTATGACTGCCCTCATGATGTCTGAGGAATTGGAAGGTGCCAGGGTCAATGAAGAGAAGGCATGGACTCAAAGTCAGTTTGCATGAGGAATATTTGTGAAGAATGAAGAGGATGGTTTACATTGGACATCCCCTTCTAGCCACCATTTTGGTGATTTAAAAATGCCAGAATGAGTTTAAAATGGGTAGAATCTCAAATCAGATACCTTTTGGGGATAGATGCTGCAGGAACAGCCGAATATGGAATACTGAACAGGCATCCCAGGTGGGAAATCTGGATCAGTTATTTTTCCCCCCATTACAAATCTACATTCTTGCATATTTACATGGGTTTTCTTCTCCCTTTCTCCATCCCCCTTTGTATCTGGTATTTCTTCCCTCGATTCTTCCTTCTTTCCCAGGTGTGTTTGATAACTGCTCCCACATTGCCAGTGACAAGGGCTGGGCCCTGGGGATCCGTTCAGGGAAGGACAAGGGAAGGCGAGATGCTCGCTTCTTCTTTTCCCTCCGCACCGACCATGTGAAGAAAGCCACTGTTGTGACTGGCCACAGTCGCTACCAACCAGGCATGTGGACACACGTGGCAGCCACTTACAACGGACAGCGAATGGCCCTGTATGTGGATGGAACTCAGGTGGCCAGTAGTTCAGACCAGTCTGGTCCCCTGAACAGCCCCTTCATGGTGTCCTGCCGCTCTCTGCTCCTGGGGGGTGATAACTCTGAGGATGGGCACTATTTCCGTGGACACCTGGGCACAATGGCCTTCTGGTCAACGGCTCTCTCACAAAGCCACCTGCAGCACAGCCTAAAGCATCCCAGTGAGGCGGAGGAGTTAACCACCCTGATCCTGACAGCCAATTTTGAGCCCCTGAAAGAACAGTGGGCCCCTTTTAGAGATGAGAAGTTCCCACGTCTTGAAGTTCTCCAGGGCTTTGAGATGGCTCCTGAGATTCTGTCACCTCTGCAGCCCCCACTCTGTGGGCAGACGGCTTGTGACAATGTGGAACTGATCACCCAGTATAATGGACACTGGCCCCTCCGGGGAGAGAAGGTGATACGCTACCAGGTGGTGAACATCTGCGATGATAAGGGCCGGAACCCCACTGTGAGCGAGGAGCAGATCAATCGGCAGCACGAGGCGTTGAACCAGGCCTTCAGCCGCTACAACATCAGCTGGCAGCTGAGCGTTCGCCAAGTCCACAACTCCACCCTGCGCCACCGGGTTGTGCTCGTGAACTGTGAGCCTAGCAAGATTGGCAATGACCATTGCGACCCCGAGTGTGAGCACCCACTCACGGGCTACGATGGGGGAGACTGCCGCTTGCAGGGCCGCTGCTACTCCTGGAACCGCAGAGACGGACTCTGCCATGTGGAGTGCAACAACATGCTGAACGACTTTGACGACGGTGACTGCTGTGACCCGGAGGTGGCCAATGTGCGCAAGACCTGCTTTGACCCTGACTCGCCCTGGAGGTAAGGGGCCCTGGCTTGGGGGTGTCTTACTTGGAGGGGTACATTTCTAACATTGTTTTATCCTTTTGGCTTTCGGAGACAAAAGAGGGTTCACACAGATCCCCAAATAAAACATTCATCCTCCCATCACACAGTGTTGAACTTCTGTGAAGTAGTAGGTGTTGTACTCAGGGATACCGCAATGACTAAAACACACTCCCCTTCATGGAACTCACCATCTATGGAGAGGACAACTATGTCCCCAGGTCTGTGATATAACCAAGTGTGAGGTGCACCTGCAGTCATATGCATCAGGTACTTGGGGCACAGGAAAGCAGAACGACTTAATCTACCAAACGTCAGGGAATCTTCACAGACAACAAACAAGGTATACATTGAGAGTAACCAATCAACACCAATTATACATGCTTGTTTTTCCTGTAGTCTTAGGTTCTCAGCAAAGTAGTACAAATCCATGAAGAGTTTGCATATCTGATTAGTCTGGTGCAGTTTCAGGAGTTTCACAAACACGACATTCTATATCTCCAAACCTGACAGACATCTCACCACACATCTCCTTTAGGCAATGGGGGTCTTCTTCTCTTGCCCTGTTAAATTCCATTCTGCACACAACAGCCAGAAAGATCTTTTGAAAGAGGTAAATCAGATCCTGTCACTCTGTTTTTCAAATCTTTTTTTATTATTATTCTTATTATCGAGCTAAGAATAAATCAAAACTCCCCACCTGGCTTACAGAACTGTGCTGCACTCTGGCTCTTGCCAACTCTCCAGCATCATCCCACTCTATCCACCTTCCCCACCCACATTCATGGCCTCACCAACTTCATTCTGTTTTCTTTAAATGGGTCAAGCTCTTTCTTGCCGTAGGGTTTCACATTAGCTGCTCTATCTTCTCAGGCTCTGATTTTCCTTGATCTTCCTCTGGTGGGTTTTCTTTTGTCATTCAAATATCTGCTTCAATATCACCTCTTGGGAAGGTCTTTCCTGATCACCCAGATTAGTTACTCCATCACTGTTACACCACCTGATTTTAATCCTCTACCATTATCACTTGTGATGTTTTTCTTGTGTATTCATTTATTTGTCTGTCTTTCCCCTATCTTTAGAATATTAGTTTCATGAGATCAGTGGCCTTGTCTGAGTCCCTGAATGGTGCAAAGGATTAACATGCACAGCTGCTAACCGAAAGATTGGCAGTTGGAGTCCACCCAGAGGTGCCTCAGAAGAAAGGCCTGCCAACCTACTTTGAAAAATTAGCCATTGAAAACCCTATGGAGCACAGTTTTACTATGACACACAAGGGGTCGCCATGAGTCGGGATCAACTTGATGGCAACTTTTTTTTTTTTAATGGATTTTATGTGTTCTTTGTTTTGAGACAAAGGCCAATAAAAGGATTCTCGTTTGATGGCTAATGCAGGGGTTGGATAGGAGCCCTGGTGACATGGTGGTTAAGTGCTCAGCTGCTAACTGAAAGTTTGGAGGTTTGAACCCACTAGCCACTCTGGGAGAAAGATGTGGCAGTCTGCTTCAGTAGAGATTTACAGACTTGGAAATCATGTGGGACAGTTCTACTCTGTCCTATAGGGTCGCTATGAGTCAGAATCAACTTGACAGCAGTGGGTTTTTGTTTGTTTGGCAGGGGTTGGGGGCAGAAAAGGAAGGTAAGACAGGAGGGAGGGAGGAAAGAATGGAGGTGGGTGGTAAACATGTTAATTAATGTTAAGTGGACAAGGCCTCTCCAATGTACAAAGTGTCATTTGTGCAAATTATAAATAGGCTCACCTGAGCTAGGGTGTAGGGCTGGTGAGACACAGGAGGACTGGATCTCAGCTCCTGCCCAATAAATGGATGGCCGCTTCTGTGTTGGTCACAATTTGTACAGTAAATTACAACATCCTTGTGTCCTCTTGGTGTCTGTTAACACTAATAGGTTGGCCCATAGTTCAGGCATTGTGGTGTCAAAGATTGAGTGTGGCATTTGGGCTCAAAGGACACAGTTGAATTCTGGACTTTTTATTTAACTATGTAAATTAAGCAAGTCTCTTTCTGACACTCACAGATGCTTTGTCTGTAAAATGGAGGAGATTGCAATAATACTTTGCATTATCTACATCACTTTCAAAACTCAGTTATTTTCTGCTTTGAATTTTTTGTTGTTACCGTGTGTTTTCGTTAATGGAATGCAAACTGAATCATTGAGTGTGTTTGAATTTTTGGAAGGTACTATGGATTTTTTTCTTGCCTCATCCCACTAATTCTACCCTCAGAGTTCAGAGGGACATATATGTCCCACTAATTCTAACCCCCCCCAAGTGTAGTAGTACACTTGTGTCCCAAAAAACTGTTTATCAAAATTTATATTTTTCATACCAAAAACATCAATTCAGCACGACTTCATAAAGTACCCTGTGAAAGCAGTAATTTCTAGCACGTGCCCATTTTTCCCATTTCAAACTGTCCTACTGGTCTCCACCTGCCAGCAGCACACACTGTCAGTGGGAAAGCAACTTCCCAATAAACCCCAGAGGTGGAGAATATAGGTAGGCAACTGTATATGCCAATAGTTATGAAAAGGATATTTTAGGGTTGTTTTGTGAATCAAATGAGATAAGGCATGGGAAAATGCTTGATAACTCTAAAGTATTCAATGTACAAAAATAGTCCTAAACTAACATTCGTTGTTATTATCATTATTACAGCTGACAGATGGGAAGTCTTTGTTTAGATAACAATAAGCATGGAATTGATCACATTACTGGAAATATTTGCATAGGAAAGATTCTGTTTGGATTTGGTTTTCAGATTTTGATAACTTTAAGCAGAGGTTAAACCTCACCAACAAGAATGGTTGCCAACTCTTAGGATCCCTGGGAGAGATGGGGAAGTCTGGCCTCTTCCCATTTGTCTTCTAGCTCATTCCTCCAACCCACTACCCTGACTGAGAGAGCAGTCTCACAAAGTACCCAGGCCTCATTCTTCTTAGAGCAACCCTTTATCTAAGTCTCTACCAACATTGCCCTTATCTGGGTGTTTATAATTCATTCCCTTCACTGCCACAGTTGCCATAGTTACTTATCCATGTCTATCTGTAGACCCAGATGGTATTTCAACCCTTTATTCTTATGGTACTCTCTTACCTCTGCATACAAAATGTGTTTTGTGGAATACAGAGGAACTATTTATGTTTTTTGTTACATAAAAACATTTAAATCTAAGTAATAAATGTTCATGATTGAAAACATCAAATTTTATCAAAAGACATAAGGAAGAACAAAAGTCCCTTGTCTAACTCTCCCTCTTGCTTCTTTACTCTCTAGCCTACCCCCACATAGGTACCCATATGTAATTCTTCTACCTGTTTTTTCTGGTAATTACCTCCATATCTCCAAATCTTATATTTGTATTACTTGATTTATCAATTTTAACATTATCCACTGACTTCCTCTTATGATAAAGATGAGACTGTCTTACATTGTCCCCACTTGCCTTCCTCTAATATAGTTATTTAAATATAACCAGTAATCAGTCGCCATCAAGTCCATTCCAACTGATGGTGACCTCATGTGTGCCAGAGTAGAACTGTGCTCCATAGAGTTTTCCAGGGTTTTTTGAAAGCAGATTGCCAGGCCTTTCTTCTGAGGTATCTCTGGGTGGACTTGAACCTCCAACCTTTTGGTTAGTTGCTCAGCACATTAACCCTGTTTGCACCATTCTATTCAGAGCCCCAGCAGGGCAGTGGTTAAGGACTCAGCTGCTAACCAAAAGGTCAGCAGTTCGAATTCACCAGCCAATTTTTGGAAACCCTATGGGGCAGTTCTACTCTGTCCTATAGGGTCACTATGAGTTGGAATTGACTCCACTGCAATGGGTTTGGGTTTTTTGGTATTTAAATATAGTTATACCCTGGTGGTGTAGTGGTTAAGAGTTCGACTGCTAACCAAAAGGTCAAATCCACCAGGCGCTCCTTGGAAACCCCATGGGGCAGTTCTACTCTCTCCTATAGGGTCGCTATGAGTCAGAATCAACTCGATGGCAATGGGTTTGGTTTTGGTTATTTATTATTTTTTGCTAAAGCAATAATATACTTTAATAATACATAATTTTTATAATATTATGACTATAAAATATTATTTGTTGTAGAACAGAATATTATTTTATTATTATATTTCCTTTCTGGCACAGCTTCTCCCCCCACCTCCCTTGAGTCTTTGTCTTTTCTTCCTTCCTTTTCATTCTTCCTTTTTTTTTTTTAAATGTGTTATCTTACACTGAATCTATGGAATGTGTCTTTTTTTCTTACACACACACACACACACACACACACACACACACACACACACACACACACACACACACACCTCTTGCTGTCGAGTTGATTTTGACTCATAGCAACCTTATAGGACAGAGTAGCACTGCCACATAGGGTTTCCAAGGAGTGGCTGGTAGATTTGAACTGCTGACCTTTTGGTTAGCAGCTGAGCTCTTAACCACTATGCCACCAGGGCTCCGAATTACACAAACAAATCTCTTAATTTACTACCTTATTTTACTGGAGAATATCCTTAAGTAACTTTGTAAGAAAGAATGTTTTAGGTTTTTTTTTTGAAAATGCATTTCTCAAAATATTTTTATTCTGCATTTACACAAAACTGATAGTTTGTCGTCATATAAAATTTTAAGTTGGAAAACATTTTCTCTGAAACTTTTGAAGAAATTTATTAGTTCCCTCTAGCTTCTATTCTGATAATTGTGTTTTTAAGGTGATTTTTTTTCCGTTTATAAATCTTTTAGAATCTTATCCTTAGCTTTATTACTTTATTGATATTGTGATAATTTTTCTTATTAATGATCTTTTATAATTCTTTTGCTGAGCACTCAGTAGGTCCTTTTAATCTGGATACTCATGCGCCTTACCTCTGGAAAGTTTTCTTAAGTTATTACCTTTATATTTCTTCAACCAACTTTCTCCATTCTCTTGTTTTCCCTCCAGACATTCCT